TGGAACATAGGTGACCAGGCCTGGGGGTAGGTCCTGAAGGGCAACCAGGAGGTCAGCTTGGTGGAGATACAGGCTACTGGGGCATAAGGTCAGGGTCTGGATCAGTGAATGCAGGATGAGGTTCCAGGGGAGTCAAGAGGAAGATCAGGAGCCAAAGTCAGAAACCAGGAAAATCAGAGAACCAGATGCCAAGTTCCAGGGAACATCCAAGAATAGGGTGAGGAAAAGTCAAAGCCAGGGGAATCAGATAACAGTGGACTCTAGGCTTGCTGGAGCAGACTGAGGCTTTTGTCAAGGCAGGTGTGCTTAAAAGGGCCGAGTGGCTCTCTCAGCAGTCAATTCAGTTACAGAAAACTGGGGCAGTGGCAATAGCCTGGGATCAAGGTCAGGTGTGGAAGCTCAAGAGCCCAGCCCAGCCAGGCCTGATTAACCACAGGCCCCGACAGTAACCTGCCCCCCTCTGCCCACAGGGTCATCTTCCAGAGGCCTGGGACCAGGTTTTTCTGGGCACCTCTGATAGAAGGTTTGCACTAATTTGGGGGCATGGGCATGGTCAACAGGTTCCCAGGATCATTCTTTGGGGCCATAGCCCTCCCAAGTGATTAAGTAGTGGAACTTGCCTCAGACACATCTGGAGTCTAAAACCAGGTTAACAATATACTCTTTGTGACCTTCCACTATCAGAGGTGGGGGGGGTCAGATGGTCAGGAAAAGGATTTGTGACAAAGGGCTTGAGTAGGGATATATGGAAAATGGGGTGTATCTTCAATGTCTCTGGTAGCTGCAACTTGAATGCTATGGGCTTTATTTGTTTCACTGCCTTAAATGGTCAGTTTGGCTGTTGGTCTTTGGGTCTTAATATTCTTTCTTGCCTTCAGAGATCCCCGTCAGTGGCAGATCCATCCCCCTGTGCCACCATTGGTCTGTGAGGCACACTTTTCTGTGAGAGTTCAGCTGGGACATAGGCAATTGGGCCTGCGGACAGGCCCTCAAGGGCAACCAGGATGTCAGCTAGATGGGGGTACAGGTTACTGGGGTATAACGTTGGGGCCTGGATCAGTGGAGGGGGAAACACAGGACCAGGTTCCAGGAGAATCAAGAGCAAGATCTAAGAGATATAGTCCAGGGTGCAAGCCAAGGTCAGAAGCCAGGATAGTCAGAGAGCCAGTACCAAGTTCCAGGGAAGATCCAAAATCAGGGTCAGGAAAAGCTGAGTTAGGAGCCAAGAGAACCAGAGAGCAGTGAAAATGAGGCTTGTTGGAGCAGGCTGAAGGTGTTATCAAAGGTGTGCCTGCAGCCTGAGGCTGCAGCTGTGCTTAAAAGGGCTGAGTGGCTCTTTCAGCATCTGATCCAGTTACAGAGAACTGGGGCAGTGGCATTAGCGCAGGATCAAGGTCAGACATGGAAGCTCAAGAGTTTGGTTAAGCCAGGACTGAATGAGCAGAGGCCCTGACAATAGTCCTAAGAAATGAAACTGTTTGATTTATCAAGTGAACTGTGTGATAAGAAAAAAGGCTTCTTATGGTGGCAGGGACTAGGGAAGGAGGGCAGAAGAACGATGTTTACACAAGGCTTGCAGCAAGTTGCCAACATAAGCTCCTGCATCTGCCAGGGAATCCTTCTCTCTGCAGTGACCAGTGTACACTGATCCAGTAGCATACAAAAGTCAAAAACATACTGCTGCCAGCTGTGTGAGCTTACAATAAGCAACCTCTATGCCCATTCAGGCCCTGAAGCTAGAGATACACCAGCGCTAAACCTGAGGACAGGAGACAACCTGTCCAAAAAGTATCCACAACCTAAATACTATGGATATTCTGTATTATTTTAGGCTAGAAATCCACAGACAATTCTTTGGAGGGTCTGTATAAATTAGAAAAGCCTCTGGCTGTCTTTCCTAGTACGTAAAAGCTTGCTAGTAAGTAAGTAAGACTGCAATGAGAAAACTACTCATTTCAGTGTATCCAAGTGAAGTATAAAAAAGAAATATTGGTCACAAGCCTTCTTAGTCATTCGTCTGTCATGGAGCCAGGATGGATTTCAATGGGAGTAACGTGTGTAAATAATTTGAGTCCAGGTTTTCAATGCCAAATGAAGCAATGACCAAATATTTTTAGCAGTTTGGCCCTCACTTACCACTCACAGTTGATACCAACAGCCACCCCAGTTAGCTCCAAGCATCATGATAGTTTTTCTGATACTTCTTTACATAGGCAAATGAATAGTTATAATATCCACACTAACTGGGTCTCATACAAACTTTCTAGGAAAGAAGAAGCTTGTATGACATTTCATAATTTCATAGTTTTATAGTTTCTAGGGTCGGAAGGGACCTGAATAGATCATCTAGTCCGACCCCCTGCCATGGCAGGAAAGATTACTGGGGTCAAACGACCCCAGCAAGGTGTTCATCTAACCTCCTCTTAAAGACCCCCAGGGTAGGGGCCAGCACCACTTCTCTTGGAAGTTGGTTCCAGATCCTAGCCGCCCTGACCGTGAAGTAGGGCCTCCTGATATCTAGCCTAAATCTACCCTCTACCAGCTTGTCACCATTATTCCTGGTCACT